TCATATGCCATTTGTGTCACTTAGACCAAACTAGCCGTTCACACAGGAATCCTTTTCTTGGCAGCAGCTGCTGTAAAAAAAAGAAAAGCCTGTAGGCACCCTGCTGCTGTAGCCTACCATCCTCTGGAGGAAGAAAACAACAAAACCATTGGAATGATGGCCCTATTATTGCCTCACATGTGAGAGGAGAGTGTCCAGAAAGAGGTTGGGGCTCTGCTTCATTGGCTCAGAGCAACACCTTTTTAGGATTTGTCCCTTTTGACACGTCTGATTGGATTTCACCTTCCTTTAAAATGTTGCTCAAAGTGTTGCTCCATGTCCGCTTGACCTGCTCTGGTAGGTAAGGCCTGTACCGTTTAGGATTCACGGGAATACAGTTGTTTTAATTGTTTATTTTGTGTGAAACAGCTTGTGAGTTTCTGAAGGTGAACGTGCTCTGCATTTAGCCAACAAACAGAAGAGCCAGATAACAAAGGGACGGTCCTTAGGCTGTGCATCCAGGTGGTGGCAGCAGTAACTATCAGTGTGACCTGGTCTAACCCAAGCTAATCAAGATGTAAACACAATATTATGTTAAAGAATAACAGAAGCATTAAATGTCAGAATGCATGCACTTAAATGGAAATAACAACAACATTCACTGTCAGCATGTATCAGGGTGTTTTGTGTTGTTGCTTGTCAAGGTTATGTTTTATGAGAATTGTTTTCCTTTTAAGGAGGTATTTTTTGATACAATAGTAATAGCAAGTTATCACTCTGAGCTGCTGAAAGAATCCTCCTGCGAGTACATTTCTACATATATTGGAGGTAAGAAGCTTCTGATGGGTTTCTTAAGGAAGAGATCTACGACCTGACATCGAACTTTTCTGAGGACCATGAGGACGAAGACTCGCTGTGCGTAATGCTCCCTTCTTCTGTGACGGATAACATGTGTCGGGCTCGATTTGATCCACGAGGCCGCCGGTCGACGCTGTCCGCTGTGCCACTAGCACACACCATAATTCATTTAAAAAACTGTTCAATTATTTGACTAAGCTTAAATTATGATATTACAAAATATAGTTGGCCAATGCTTTGATTTACACGTAGGAACCATTTACATTTCTCCCCGGTGTTCTCCCAATTTTCAATTAAATTTCATGAGGAATTTCATAATTATCTGAATTAAATGCTATGTTTAACGTAATATAGAAAAATAGTACACATATTAGAGATTCATTTGATTTAACATTTAAATGATGATGCACATGCCTATGATATTCGATATGGTCAATATGGTCCGGATTTGACGTACATAATAATTGCTCTTTGTCTTTAAATCATATTTAGAAATGTGTATTTCCATATTTTACTAACGTATTTCAGTGAGCAAGTGTTTGTCCTAAAAGGAATTTCCGGTTACTATTAAGCCGATTATTTCACGAATTGTGATATTCAATTGGGGGACAGTGTAAAAAGTACGTGGACTATTTAAAAAGACTCCTTGTAGAGGATGAGGTGATTTTGATTTTATCATGACTGGGCACAGTGTGTAGCTACTGTGACAAGCAGACAGTCCACTATGAACCGTGTCTGTCTTCACGGAGTAGCCTTTGACACCGAGCTCCTCCGGCATTTACCGGGATCAGCTGCGCGCTCCCCCGCGCTCACGGCGTTGCTGCAGACTGTATCCACGCGGGTACAATCGGAATATGGATAAGAGCTTTTCCAGTCTTCACTTCGACGAATTCACTTAATAAATAACCTTCAACGGAATTAAAAATAAAATATAAACAGAAGCCCATAGACAGTTTTTTCAAATATGAAAAAGAAAAACTATTACATAGGCTAAGAGGTTCTCATTTTTCCGGATAAAATCGAATCGAATTAACTAGGTGAACATTGAACGAATAAGTATATAGCAATACAATACATGCAATACATGTCCTTTAAATGAGCCACACTGTGGTTCCTGCTGCCACAGTGTTTGTGACGTCTTTTAGGTGTCACGGGGAGGGGGGGGGGGACAATTGTCCCTGCATTGGGATGTGAAAATCACGAGTTCATGGGGGCTGTGTAACGTCTCCCTTGGGTGACTAAGGTCACAAAGAGTTCAACGGTTTAGGTCGTGTATTTTCACAGCAAGTGTTTGAGATAAATGGCATATAAATCAAATGGAAATAATAATAATGATAATAATAATAATAAATGACATGTTTTATATGAAATGGTGTTATTATTATAGTACAGTGCCCTTGCAAAAATAGCACCTTGAATTACAAAGGGAAGAAAAACGGAACTATCCTCGGAGCATAACTTTCTCTTTATACATGTTCCGGCCTATTTTTATTGACAAATACTTATGAAGTTTGGAATTCAGGCAGCCAGGTTTGTCCTTGTGGCCTCAATGTGAGATTGGATGTTTATGATTCCAATTCTCAGCCTGGAAATAACTTGACACTCGACGTAATGGAACGCCCCTGGGTTAAGGCCTTCCAAATAGTGCGTTGGCGGGTGCACGGTGAGTGCGTGAAAGCTTGTGTGTAATAGAGGAGGGTTTGAGGACAATCAATAGGCTTTGATCGCGGATGGACATTGTCTTATATTGATCATTTCCATTGAAACCATAGATACTCTTTAGGGTGAGTGGGCTGCTGTAACTGAACGTACCACAGCAGCGTAAAGATGTCATATGAAATGCAGGATCTTCAGTTTCATTGATAATCATAAAGGCTATGCCTTTAAAACGAAAAAAAGAAAAAAATATCATAACATCATACAACTTTAAAACACACCAACCTTTTTTTCCACCTGATTAAAACCTTCATATTGAAACTGGCTGGTCAACAAAATACAAAAAAATTGGCTTGACCACACTCCTAACAAGCGATTCAGAATTTAAGTCATATTGATATTAGTGAAATTAATTCATGTCATATTTAAATATATATTTACAGACCTATGTGAAAGACTGCGGTCAACTCAGCAGACACTCGGATCTGCGTAGTCAACTTAGACACTTGAATTTGAGTGGACGTATATGCTGACATTTATGCTATTAAACACGTAACCGGAATAAAGGTTGTTTAAATAACAAATTCCGGACAATGATAGAAGTAAAAAATAAAAAAGTGTGGAGTGTCAGAGTCAGTCAGTGGGGGACTCGGGCTCTGTTGATGAGCCGACTGCCGACGGGAAGAAACTGTTTGTGTGGCGGGAGGTCGTGGTCCTGATGGACATCAGCCTCCTGCCAGATGGAAGGGGCACAAACAGTGAGAAGGGTCGGCAACATCTTCTTTTTAGCTCGATTCAGGGTCCTGGAAGGGAACAAGTCCTGGAGGGACGGCAGATTGCAGCCGATCACCCTCTCTGCAGAGCGGATGACACGCTGAAGCCTGCCCTTGTCCTTGGCTGTGGCTGCAGCGTACCAGACATTGATGGAGGAGCAGAGGATGGACTCCATGATGGCCGTGTACGTAGAAGTGCACTATCATCGGCATTGGCAGGTTGAATTTCTTCAGATGCCTCAAGAAGAACAGCCTCTGCTGAGCCTTCTTGGTTGAACAGCAATAAAAATACTTTTCACAATAGTTCCAGACCAATGCTCTGACTACATGCACAATATGAAGTATTTTTTCTTCACAAATTTAGAGATTTCTCTAAATTTAAGTAAAAGCCCTATAATTGCAAGTTGAAAAGACCAATTCACCATAATTGAACTGCAATAAAATTTTCTAAAAAATTTCTACAAGTAAAAGCCCCATATTTGTTCAAAAAGTCCCTTTATCCATATTTTAACTGCAATAAAAATAATTCCAGACAAATACCAATGTAGTTGTGTTAAGGACCTCTCTGATACGATTTTACTGTTCTTTACTACGGAATTATTGAGAAAAGAATTATTTTTATTGCAGTTCAAACGTTGAGAAATTATCTTTTTGAATTTGCTAAAATAGGACTAACTTGTACAGTAAAAATACTGCATATTCAGGTTCATAGTAGAGGTCCTTAACAGACATTTGTATGCAAATATTGAGAAAAATATTTTTATTGCAGTTCAAATATGGAGAAATTATCCTTTTGAACTTGCAAATATCGGGCTTTTACTTTGGATAATTATCTAACTTTGTCCAGTAAAAGTATTCCTTACTAGTCAGAATGGTCCTGAACACACATAGGCTACTTATATATTATATTGTCCAGAATCTCGGAATAAATAGCTTTTATTCCGGTTACTTGTTTAATACCATAAATGTCAGCTTATACGTGCGCTAAAATTCATGTGTATGCTGAGTTGACCACGGAAATTCGAGCGTCTGCGTTAACTGCAGTAATGAAAGAGGACTGATTCAGACATCCCCCCAAATAAGGTAAAACACAAAAGATACCCATTGCCGTGCCTCAATACGAATGTCGATGTGAATCAATGTACAAAACAACGTCAGGGACTCCTGACAAAGCTTCAGATAAAGCTTCTGGAGTGAAATGCCTTAAATATCATCATACAATAGCGAATCTACTTCCACCCCTTATTGTTCTACACTTGTAGGATTAAAGCTTTGCCTTTGCTTCCCAGATCCCCTTCAATGGAAGCCCACTGAACAAGAAAAGTACAAAAAAAGTACATTCCGGCAAGTCAATAAATTGGTGTCAGCATGTTAACACTGCTCACATCTACTTTACATCAGTTATCATTACAGAGTGTTGTATAAGACAATGTTTTGACCAGAATGTCTGCATGTGTTTCACTATATATTTTTTTTATTTTACCTCGTTTTTTGCCGTGGCTGCAAGCATTCCAGAGCTAACGCGTCATGCTCCAAAAATAAATAGATTGAGTAGACATCATTCATTCTCGTTAGCCTATTTAGTTCTTATTTATGGAGATTGGAAAGAGATGGAAATGAAAGACGCAGCGCGGCAATATCACTCTGATTTCCGGCGCTCTTGCTGTCACTTGAACTGTCTGTTGCCATGGTAACATCCAACACTATGCCCACAGCGGCAGGAACACCCGGGCGATGTCTCACCAAGGGTGTCCGAGCCGTGTTCCTACAGAGGACATGAGAGGGGCCGCTGCAGAGTTTTACCGGGCCAACGGAGTCCCGCAGCTGGTGGAGAGAGCTCTGAACGAGCTCTTCTTCCATGAGCCCCGAGACGTCCATGGATACTTGGTAGGAGTCGATGGCGTATGCTAACGTATGCTAACTTTAGCTTCGCTAACCAACTGGTTAACTGCACTTATTCCTGGTACCAGCAGGTACCAGTGATCTATTCAAGTCTTCGGAATGCAGGAGCAAGCAAATAGAAGAAGAAATCACCAAAGTGCCCCCCTACTTCCTGTCCAGCCCCCCTGCATTACACCTGTTAATGTAACGTTAGCCAGCTTCAACAGAGACAGTGTCCTTCAAAGGGGTGCATATAGTTTCAAAAGATTACAGCCTAGTTGTTTTCCTGCTGTGATATATGGTAATTTATGTCAAAATGTCTGTAGTGAGAAATTATTAAAGTTATGAATTATGAAGAGTTCTTCTCCCTCACTGACTAAATGTGGATGGGTGAAATGTTCTTTCTGAAAAATACGTACTTTTGCCCACAATCCTGAGCAAAAGTAAGATTTTTTTTCTGTAGATTATATATATATATTTTTTTTTCGACAGAAAAAAAATCATACTTATGCCCAGGATTGTGGGCAAAAGTATGTATTTTTCTCCGTCATGTAACATATTAGCATATTAAATTAAGTAAAAAATATTAAACATATTAAATGAAGTCTTTATAAGAAACCACATTTCAGTCATGGCTTGTTGCTAACCACCTTAACATCAAGGCATTCATGGATTTTAAATGAACACTTTTGTGTTTCTTTGACAAAGAGACCTTCATACTGGATCATTCGTGTTTGAAACCAGTGTCTTGATCAGAAAGAACAGAAAGGCGGGGAATGTTTTGAAGGGAAAATTGATATAAGCTACACAAAAATTGATCAGGTTGGATCAGAAACATGCACAGATACTGGCCCTCAGCACATCGTTTAAGAACTGTGATACCAACGTTTCAACGTATTTAACTATGAATTTTTACTTTAGGCAAATTATTTCACGAACCTAAGTGCACCGCCAAGGATCAGCGGGCTGAAAGGGAGGGAGGTTTATGACGCAAGAGGACAACTCTCCATTGAGGCGGAAGTCTTCTGCATTGTCTGCAACAAGGAAAAGGTACAGAAACAACATTTCCCCATAAAAAATCAACACTTGGACACTTGTACAAAATAATCACTACAGTCAACGGATGTCTGTCTTCTTGGACTGGGGCTGACATCTGCTCAAGTTGCAGATTCTAGATACTAAGTTCAGAGCCGGCATTTAGGAATCAGGAATCAGGAAACATTTATTGCCAAGATATGTCAAACATACAAGGAATTTGTCTTGGCGGTTGGTGTGTGACAGTAGACAGTGTAACAATAGACAACAAGACAGCAGACAGCAGTGCACATCTAGATCAAACAAATCAAGCGTTAGTAAAGGAGTTGGGATTCATTAGTGATGAGCTGATAGTTTGAAATGACAGTGATGTGCCTCTTCAAACATGCTGATGAAGCGAGCAAAGACAGTAGCTGTGTCCCATTTGGAGTTGGCTGCCTACACACGAAGATCCAGCCTTCGCACTCGACCTGGGTTCAGCCCTCCAATGGCTACAAAGGCTGAACCGAGCGGTCTCTTAAATGGGACCGTCTGACCCACAGGGCGACTTCCTGCTTGCGTAATCAGCTTTTCCTCTGCTGCTCCTGTTGCCCAGCGACCAGAACTTATAAAAATGCAGATAGACAAGGTAATCGTCTTATTTCATTTAATTTAGGAACATATGCTTTACCTCTGGAGCATGATACATTTTAGGCTGGGAGAAGAACTTTTTATGATTATTTTAAATTAAATTAAAATTGGTTAAGCCCTGAACTTTTAGCTAAAGGTAATATTGCAATTTTAAAGAAAGGACTTTTTTTTCTTGCATAGGATAAAAGCTAATTTAACTATAACCATAAGATATTACAGAATATATCCAAGCTGCAGGAGCTGAATGTCACCACACACATCCTTCTCCTTCAGCTTGATGCTGCTTCCTCCTGGCTCACAAAACAAAACAAAATATAAAATTTGTTTATAATCACACCACAAAACAAAAGTAGTGAAGCAAGGACTGAACCAAGTTCAGTTTCTTTGTGTATTTATTCTCAACATTTGTAATGTTACTTTAATAACTTGTCTACCTGTGCTCACTTTAATCCATTTCTGTTCATAATATGAAGTATAAACTATATCTATAAAACCGTTACAATCTCAAGGAGATATACAGTGTGAAAGTTAAAGGCTTAAAAATACAACATCGATTACCAGCGTCACGTAACGTGTGATGCTCTATATTTTACTTTGAAATTATATATATATATATATATATATATATATATATATATATATATAGGAGGATATTGACAGTTCATACAAATCAACTATTTTCTCTGTGTTCAGAGCATGTCTTCAGCTGCCGTCTCCAGCCACTTTGAGCCGATGGTGACATCACTGGACAGGAGCATAATGAGTCAGGAGAGGGCTGACCATATGATGACGGCTGCCCAGTGGATCAATGGTCCTCTGAAGAACATGCTGAAGGGCCAAAACCCTTGTGACCAATCAGATATTGACCTTATATTGAGGTAATGTTCCAATATTTATTAAATTACAGGGAAAGGGTTGCATCTCTCATCTGTTTCCATATTTGTTATTCTTTTTAAAACCAAAACCTAGAATATTTGCCCAACACTGTGTTGTAAAAAATTATCCTAATCTAGAAGAGTATGAACAGGTGCATTTCCTTCCATTTAATTATAAAGGAAAACCTGCTTCTTATAGTCTGTTTGTAGGTCTCTTACTAATTACGATGAAAATTAAAATGTATATAATAATGCATTCAGTGCTTCCCTGTTTCCAGGACTGTTATAGAAGAAAGGTTTGATACAAATACAAAATGCAGTTTTACATTTTTTAAGGGGAAAACATGATCCAAATCTACCTGAAACTATGTTAAAAAGTAACTGATAAGTCACAGATGTCATTAAACACATTTTTTGGAAAGCGTGGTTAAATTTCACTATCTAGACCGAGGCCTGATTGCTCCCAGAGCTGTTGAATCCAGAAAATCGCTTAAAAAGAACCTGTCTGTCCAACTGTACAAGAGGTGTCAAAAAGAAACACGTCATGTAAAGAAAAAAAAACTAATTAACATGTATCAGTCTGGAAAAGGTTTCAAAGCCATTTCTAAGGCTTTGGGACTCCCAGAAAGCCATTACCTACAAATGGACAAGACTTGTAACAGTGGTTACCTTTGGTGGTGTTGATGCTTTTCTCATACACTTGAGGAGTCTTGCGGTGGACTAGGAAAACTAGGATTGTTGGATTAAGAAAAAATCCTTGGAAACCGCAAAAAACAAATATATACTGGGCGCTTCCAAACACCCCACCGGTGTATAATTGACCAATATTGAAAATGCCATTTTTAAGCCCCAGCGAGAATGCAGTCTAGGTGAAGGGAGGTGGTGATTGTCGTGAATAGGGGTTATAGTAGATATATCGTCGAGGCCAAATTGTGTGCGAAACTGCCAGAATTTTTAATGTTGTTGGTAATGTACTATCGGTTTGGATGAGTATTGTCTTGGGGAGAATGGTAGTCCAGAGGTACTAGGTGCAATGCTAGAAGAGAAGATGATGGGCACGATTTAGCTTCATTTAGGGGAACCAGCTAAATTGAGGGAGCTTGACCCAGTATATTATTTTCTGTATTTACTGCCCAGTGGTAATGTCGGAAATTAGAAAGAGGGACTAAACCTTGAGATTGATGGACTTGTATCATCACTTTACTCATCCGTGGATCCTTATTATCCCATAGAAAGCCTGTAATATGCTTATCCAAGGTAGTAAAGAAGACTTTAGGCAGGAACACTGGCATTGGAACTGATAGGAAAGAGGAAACATGGTTGAACATTGATCTTAACACAATTAACGTGTTAATGAAGAATTGATGGTTCTCCACATGAAAGTCTGTCTTCATCTTAGTGATTACTAGGAAGAAAATTCCTGTTGTAAAAGCTTTCAAATTTACGAGTGATATATATGCCAAAATATTTGAATGCAGGGTCAAACTTGTTGAAAGGCAGTTGAATTGCTGGAGACCTTATGGACATATTGTTTAGAGGAAAGCATTCATTTTTTTGAGAAATTTAATTCATAACTGTAGAAGATCCCAAATTGCTCAAGGATCTTAATCGGTCCAGGGACAGATGCCACTGCGTACGAAATATAAACTAATAAATCATCAGCATTTGGCAGTACTCTGTGCTCAGTACTCCTGCAAATCCCTTTAATGTTGACATGATTTAAGAGCAATGGATAATGGTTTGATTGCTAAGGCAAATAATAGAGGACTTAAGTGGCAGGCTTGGCAGTGTCATTCTGAGTTTGATCTATTGCTGAGGCCCTCGGTGAGGAGTAGAGGAATTTTACCCATGCCACAAAAAACAGTTTGGTCTTCAGAGTTACTTTGTGAATAACGGTTTCAGATGCGTAGCTAGGACCTTTTGCCAGAATTGTGTAATTTGCATTAAGAAGCGATATTGGTCAGTAGGATCCACATTCCTTGGCATCTTTTCAAGGTTTTAGCAATAAAGCACCTCGGGTTAAAAAGTCATTGAACAAATCATGCAAAAGTGACAATAGTTTATCTGAGAATGCCTTGAAAAATTCTATGGGGAAACCGTTTGGCCCAGCTGCTTTGCCGCTTTGTACAGTTTAATTGATCCCAGTATCTTGCTCGTGTTCACTGTATGGCTTAGTTTTCTTTCTTGGCCATTATTAATACTTGGGAATATATGACCCTCAAACTTTTCCATGTCTGTGATGTTGGGTGGGCTTTCTGATTGATATAAGTAATAATCCCTAAAGGTATCGCTGTCACTTCCTCAGGGATGTTTTTAAGTTGTGATATTTGCTGAGAGGTACAGTTTTCATGTATTTATTTAACATGGGTCTACTTTGTGGTTAAGGTTAAAGGTTTGTTTTGATATGGGGCAGTGTGCTTCCCGTGCACTGGAAAAGGCAACTACAACATTTATGTTTTATCCAAATATTTTTGGAGCTCATTCCACGTGGTGTTTTTCTTTCGCCATATAAATAAGTTTTATGAAAGATCCCATATCGGTTTGTGTTACCCATAGTGTATATTTCTGTTCTGTAACTGTGCAGCAATTTCTTCATGGCCCGCTTCCTTGAGGAGAACGACGTTTTGAACAAGGAAAATGAGGAGAGTCTGTCCCCCAGCGAGGCTGGGGAGTTGTCTTCTCCACGCTCTGCAGAGACGAAAGACAACAAGTTTGTTAAAAAAGGTAGGCTAGTAACTTGTCATGGTTAATATTTTATTCCAATAACGCTATTTCTAACACCTTACAATAAAATTAGATTTTTCAGCAACATTGTTTTAGTTAAGTATATTAATATATTGACCAAATATACAAACGAGACATCGATTCCATTTTTCAATGAAAGTCAGAACATGGATTACAGTTCAATTCAAAGGCTAATACAGTTTTTTGAAAACAGATCTTCACTATGTCTTTGTTGATGTAAACCGGTTCTTAGCTTTGGTCTTAATAGGACTAACATCTTGGTTGATGAGTTCACAATGAAGCAAGCAGCTGTTTGGCCAGGGGGCATTAACATCGGCCGTTGGTAAAACCAACTATCACATATAACCACCATCAGAAGAATATCAAGTATGAATTCATACAGAAGGCTGAGAGACAGAAGAGGAGAGAGGAGCTAAATGTGACCTGGGAAGTCCCTAGACCCTAGAGTCTAAGCCTATAGCAGTTTATATAAGGGCTGGTCCAGGCTGTACTGAGCCAGCCCTAATTATAAGCGTTACCAAAGAGGAAGGGATGCTTTGGGCTAGAGCGTTTTTTTGGCCTCTTCTCCAAAAATGGCACCCACAATAAAAAGTGTAATCACTCTAGAACTACTTTATCTACCTGGACAATATTTTTCCGTAGGATGAAGGGGAACCGCCACCGATTTTTTGCATAATCTGAAAATGATAAGGATAGTGCAAGAATCATTTAAGTAAATCACACAAAAATAAAGCAATAAATGTGTCCTTGCATGTGTTGTCTGTATATCCAAACCCCAGATCTGTTTAGTTCTACAATGCAGCGGTTCCCAAATTTTTCAGGCCACGCACCCCTACATCCTAACCGGGTTCATGCACCCCCAATCGCTCACACTTAAAAAGTCTATTCATAGCTGCATTAAAATTTGACCAAAAACAACAGTTTGCTCACGCGTGATGTTTGTTTACAATATTTAGTCCGCTGTTAAATGTTGCAGTGTGACCACTGACCGAACAGAGGAGCAACTGCAACATTGTATCATATTAATTCGGAATCAGGAATATGAATAAAATGGGAGGAGTCCATCTGAGGATTTCACACGCAGCGCAGGGGGCTTAGGCTGCAGCAAGAGAGAGACAAAGAAAGAGGGGTGACGTTAGCAAGTAAGACACGTGAGTATTAACTCTCCGTTTCTATCTCTCTCTGTCCCTCTCCTCTCTCGCGACTGATAAGCCAGAAGTTAGCTGTTAGCTGACGTTAGCTGCACAAACTGGGCTAACGTTAGCTAGTGTGTACGTAAAAGGAGGAGCTGAAGTGTATTTATTAAATTGTACATTTTAATGTACATTTAATCTTACAATGGGTAGTTTTATAATTATAAAATCATCATCTCTCTATTTTGTGTAAAAACCCCATTGATTTTTTACAAATTATATTTAATATGAATTATTACTCCATTAGACCACCATTATATGTTTCCTCTCGCGCCCCCCCAGGGGTGCCCGCACCATACTTTGGGAATCCCTACACTATGATAGAGCTAAATTCTTTAACTATTAATAACACACAAACATGTGTAAGGGGCTGAGGGGAAGAGTAGTCGAGGGAGTATATATTCCAGCCAAAGGCCTTGCACCTACAACCTCGGAGGAATCACGATCAGCTGTGCCAGGAGACACACCTGGACCTCATCTCCTCATCAAGAGGGGTACAAAAAGACAAGAATGAAAGACGGCAGGGAGAAGACCCGGGGTGCTTAGGTTTAATTTAGTTTGGCAAATGCTGGAGATTCTCTTGGTTATCAGTTTTGTTTTTTCACATTGTTTAATAAAACTTCTACAACATACCATCCGCCCCTGTCTCTTGACTACTGCGCTGCCATTGTTTTGGAATCCTCAGTGCAATACTACCATACTGCATATTGCCATGCCATACTGCTTTTCTGTTTTGATATAACTGGATAGTGCATTACAAATCATTTTGTAACAAGAATGTTTTGCTTCCACCACAGGTAAAAAGAGCAACACTTCGGAGAAACCATTTCATCCAACAGAGTCACCAGAACGAGTTTTACGTGGGAGTTGTGCCATTGGCTCAGTATCTCTCGCCATGTCCCAAACTGGTGCAAATATACAGGGTCTCCCTCTCTACAAATACATAGCTGCTCTGAAGAACAGAAAGGTAACAACACACTACACATGCAATCACACAAACACTCTCCTAGGTGCAACATGTAATGATGTCTCATAATGAAACCAATTCATGCAGGCACCTGCTCCGTTTCACATCCCTGTATCTTTGGTAACTTTGCTGAGCTGTGGAAAGACTTCTCCTGGAAAATTGAGTTTGCTTGAGGAAGTCATCCTGATCCCCAAAGCCGGACAACGAGTCAAACAGGTACTCAGAATATGTACAGCTACACAGACATCTATTGGCGAAGATCTGTTCAGTGCATAAAGTTAGTGCTCTTTATGTGGGTTGCTTTTCCTCCATTGTTGCGATGATGATGAAATATATATATATATATATAATATATATATATATATATATATATATATATATATAATGATAGTATTGATTAGACACAGTTCTGCTTTACTAAATGTTTACTCTAGTGTTTATTAATCTCACTGAGCTGTAAACCTTTTCAACAGATTATCACAATGACCCGTGGGATACAGAAGGAGATGATGAGAATAATCAACACTTCAACTAAAGCTGGGGTGAGGGACATTGCAATTTACTAACTGTAAGAATAGAAGTTGACACAGGCTATATGAAAGAAAGATAGAAGCAAGATTTATCTTTTCCTGAACTTACCTAAAAGTTGTATAGAAAGGTATGCAGGAGATATGTGGAAATGCCTATCAAAACTTTCAATGCTTCCATTGTCTGCAGCCTTTGTAAAGTATACAGAGTTATTTCTTGCATTGTTTAATGACCTATAGCCCTACCATTACTTGAACAGTGAGGCGAGTGAGTGGAAACATTTGTATTTATCCAATAAATACTCATCTATGGTCATTGACATGAAGCACCACATGCTGTTAACTAGGTGAACTTTATATTTGCTCCAAGGCAACCCAGGCAATGCTGTGTGACAGTGGAGCGCTGGCTGTGAAATACGAGCGACCTGAGCAGCCTCTGGACCTGATCACTGAAGCCTGTTGTAACTCTGGACTGGCCTTGGGAACAGATATCCACTTAGCACTAAACTGTGCTGCCCCTGAGTTAATGGACTGTGTAAGTTGACGAAAGGTAGTTACTGGCTTTATGGTTATACGAGCTGTGAGTCTTTATGAAAATGTCTTGGTGGCACTTTTTATAGGGGCTCTGTCAGTAATGTAGTGTAAAGTAGTGTAATGTATGAGATATGTGGGTTTCAGAATAACATGTTTGGATGCAAACCCAGAAGGATAGATAGCAACGCAGCAAATGGATTTCAAATTAGAGGTATTGTCAAAAAAAGTATCAAGTCAATCCACTTAATACCTGGCACAAGTGAAAGCAAGCTCAGGAACAAGAAACATTAGAACATGGGACAACAGACAGCAATCAGTAGAGGACGACCAGATGTGGGGAGTCCCACTAAAGGACGACCAGATGTGCGGAGTCCACCTGGAGGACGACTAGAACCATAGTAGAGGATGGCCAAATCTGTGGATTCCCACTGGAGAACGACCAGATGTGTGTAGTCCAACTGGAGGACGAGCAGTTGTGTGTAGTCCCACTGGCGGACCAGCAGTTGTGTGACTGAAGGACTACCAGGTGTGTGGAGTCCCAGTGGAGGACGGCCAGACAAGCAGAGCCACAGTTGAGGGCGACTAGTTGTGTGGAATCCCACTGGAGAATGACCGGATGTGGGGAGTCCCACTGAAGGAAGATCAGATGTGTGAAGCCCCACTAGAGGACGGCCAGACGAGCAGAGCCACAGTAAAGAGCTACCAGAAGTGTGGAATCCCACTGGAGGATGACCAGATGTCGGGAGTCCCACTGGAGCATGGTCAGAAGTGTAGAGTCCGCCTGGAGGACGAGCAGACGAGCAGAACCACAGTAGAGGAGGACCACATTTGTGGATTTCAACTGGAGAACAACCAGATGTGTGTAGTCCAACTGGAGGACGGCCAGTGGAGTGGAGAGTGCCACTGAAGGACAACCAGATGTGTGGAGTCCCAGTGGAGGACTGCCAGAAGAGCAAAGCCACAGTAGAGGGCGACCAGATGTGTGGAATCCCACTGAAGGACAACGAGATGTGTGGATTACTACTGAAGGATAACCAGATGTGGTGGGGTCCCACTAAAAGACGAACAGAAGGTTGGAGAACCAAGGGAGGACGACCAGATGTGTGTGAGATGAGTCCCACCTGACTAAACTTAATCTAAAACCAGGATAAGTGGCTGAGACCAGTAGATTTGTGTCCAAAACAGGGTGGGCTGCTGAATACTAAATGTGAATGACCGGGACCGCAGAGAGTATTTTCATCTTCCAAGACACACCTCTTCAGACTATACCTTGACTAAAAACACTAACAAATTATGGCTTTTATCTATAAAATTATAATACAATAGGCTCCTTTCAAAACATTACAGCAATTCTGAAGCATTATGATACAAAGTCATTAGAAAATCATTTTGTTATAACGTATGTATAAGGCGTGTTTTGTCTGAATATTTTGAATATGTATGTTATTTATAGTTCATTTAATATTTATGAACATTCCCAATGATCAGACTATAATGGATTGGATTATTAGTTGGATTATTGGCCATCGTCAAAAGAGCTTCCATTAATGCTATATGCATACAGCAAATTCTAGATGTATATGTTCACAGCTGAAAGGAGGTAGCAGGTAGCCGAGAGAATCAAATATTTGCTTCTTTTCTTCCTCTCAGTCTAAAGGAAAGTATGAAGTTGCAACCGGGGTTTTGAAATCTCCAGATGAATTAGTTGATATGTACCGAACCCTTATCACCAAATATCCAGCAGTGGTGGCCTTAATCGATCCATTCAGGAGAGAGGTAAGTCTAAGCATGATCCGCCTTCCAGATATGTGTACAAAAACATGATTAATAAAAACTGTAAACCATATTGCTTTTTTTATATTGTGCTATTGTAATGCATCATAGAAGCACTGGTAAATGAAGGAACATTTCTGAGGGAAGTGTTCAGGGAACGCCTCCCCCACAAGCACCTCGACTTCTGCGTTATTTTGTCTTGCTCTAGTGGATATCCATATAGAACTGGACTTACAAAGTGACATTTTGTGTTCATAACTGGTCTACTTGAGCTGTCCATTTATTTTCATAATATGAAATAAAACTATACAACCACAGTGGTTAGTTACTTAGGGCCACCAGCAGATGTTGTTCCACCAGACATGTACAGCCTCAATCAAATTGTGTGCATGCTCAAGAGAGATGTATTTGTATGATCATCTGAACAGCATGGTCGTCCTTATTCTTGTGTTTTTGTGTGTTTGTGCTCTGTAAGGACATAGACCAATGGGAGAAGCTGAGCAACATGATTGGAGACTCATGTTCTCTGCTTTCTGACATCACCTTTAAGCCAAAGGCCCCCCCCCTACCGGGAGTCAGAGGTCACATCTTAAAACATGTCCATGAGACAAACGGTCAGCGATTTGATCCGCATCACATCAGAGCACCAGGGTAACAGATCCCATGACGTGGGGTAGAGGAAAATAACAATCCTTGAAGAAAGCTGTGCTTGATCTCAATCAGCTGTTTGTCGGAAATAGTGTTTAACCTCAACTCTCCCTGGAGGAGCAAAACATACAGTACTACTTGCAACCATCTACATAGGAACTATTAGAAGTATAGTAACTTAACTTTCTTGAACAAGGTCTAGAATTTCTCTGTGCATGAATGCGATCGGACACATAAGTAACTAACAGTTGTTGATGACGTGAATGAAGCAGCTGATTCCTGCCACAGCATGACTTGCTTGAACTGTATATAACACTTCTCTTTCACTTATGGAATTGCCATCAATGTTCAATCATGTTTATGTCCCTTCACCTGATGCTAGGTTCAGTGTTGATGGGAGCAGCATGCAGTGAGCCCTGCAGCGATGACTCTTTGTCAGATATTGTAAGTTGAGCCCCTTTCTTTCATTTTGTGCTTCCAGCCTCATGTCATTTGTCTGACCAGAGACCATTTTTTCTCTCATAGTGTCTCTGTCCAAAGTAGCATCCATCTGCAGAAATTATATGTTGTGTGTGTAACATCCATAAAGAGCTTTGTAGTAACTTTCAGGTGCTTTCTGGCCTCAAACTTTACTGCTCTGGCTTACTCTCACCGCTCCTAAGAATTGTTTCCTGCTAAAATGCTTTAAGAAGCCGCTGATCAAAACCTGCTCAGCAGCAAGCGGCAGACAGATCTGCTGAGCATAGTGCAGCATTTAGCAACAAGATTGTTTTTTCTCAGTTCATAGACCAAAATCAGACAGAGAAAGGTGTTTCTATAGGAGTAACGTCTGCCAAATTACTAATGTTAGTTGGCTTTCTCCTGGAAGTAGTGGATTGGACAGATGAATGGCATGGGCCTTTCACTAGCAGGTCCATCCAGTAAGCCATCTAAAAAGGTTCTCAGATGAGCTGGGTGGGACTGCCTTTCTCCAGGATGGCATTGGACCCAAGATGGGAATGATGTTGGGGCTAAAGAAGTTCACTGTTGGCATTAGAAAGGTTGGCATCATCAGCTTCCAGTGCCTGTACATTCAGATCACACCCCCCTCTACACATTCTCACTCAGACATCTGCTCAGGCTCATTAATGTGATTAATTTTCATCTCATGAATTTGCCACGTATGACTTCTTTTACAACTTGTTCAAATTCCCTCAGCGTCTTCGCATTGCAGTTAGCCAGCACCACATTTGCGGCTTTGTTTGAATTTTGCTTTTTTCCTACTGTTTAGTGAGGGCCATACTTGAGTAAATTACACACGAGTATGATAAGGTGCAGATAGAAAATAAAATCCACACCTGTTGTTGTTTTTAACACCATTGTATAAATTGATTGATTTTTATATTTTGAATAACCAGCTTTCCCATAGGCTCTGTATTCACTTCAAAACATTATCTTTTTAAATAGTATTCTTTCATATTTGTCTATTTTTCTTGTGCTTGTTATTTCTTTTGACAGTAAACTGAATATCTACTGTATACTTATTCACAAGGAATATGAAGTCCTGAGAACATAATCTACAGATGAATTGATCACCAATGTAAGCATTGTTAGTTGCAACCAGAGTCATCAGTAACCATCACATAACACATTGTAACCCAACTAAAACCTTCAGCTGCAATTGGGCAGCATTCTCAACCGAGATTGGAACCCAACTTACCCCCTCAACGTCCCAGTGACATGACACGGGAAAACTCAGCGCCAGTGTCTGTCTCACACTGTGTTGCTCTTTTTCTCCTCCCTCAGGCTGTGGGTCTGGGCCTGGGCTATGTCAAACTGGGAGGTCTGAGCGGTGCTGAGAGGATGGCTAAATACAACCGGCTGATTTCTATAGAGGAAGAGGTGGCCCAACAGGGAATACTGGGTAGGTTTTTTTATAGTCCTGCCTTGGCGATGGAGAGAGAGAGAACCCATCTCTCTCTTCCACACCCCTTGCTCTGTGTTGAATATGAATGGAAACTGGGTGTGAAGAATAACCCCCTCCCCACCACCACCCCCTCCGCTCCGCTCACCACCCTCAGATTCCTTTGGATTTGTTAATTGGCAACCTAATTACACTTAAGGCAAATACTTTCCCATCATCATTTACAAAGCCGACAGGGACACTGGAGGGTAATGAGAGATTATCCATGTCTGCATGTAATCAATTCCAATCAATAAAAGTTGCGTTTCCAAGATGCAGTGAAAGTTTTAGTGCTGCAGCAACTTCCTTCTAGACCCGTTATCCGAGGCCTGTGCAGTTTGCTTCATGTCTGCTCTCTTCATTTACTTTTTCTCATCCACAGTGGCCAAGGTCAAGCACCCCCCTCCACTGTTCACTGATACACCACAGGAGCAGTCTACCACAGCACCAAGTACAGTGTGACTTCTGTTTGTACCCAAGTGTGCATCATATTCCACGTTCATTGTTCCATTCTGCTCTTATCTATTACTTGCCTGTCAAGAGTTCACTGGAGAACCTGCTGAGTTGATTATGAACAAGTGCATTAATCCTGAATTCTAGTTGATCTATGAATCAAAGTGAGTAAACAGAACTTAAAAAATAAATTAAAAAAACTTTCACACCCGCCAGACATCTCGCTGCTTCTTTATATTATTATTTCTTTATACATTGCAAATATGAGCCATAACACAGCAAATCCAGAGGTGCACTTTCAATCATAAAAAAAAATCAATAATTTCAAATGCACACAGAACTGAATATATGCACATAAAAATACATTTATATTTATATTTGTTTGTGGATATGTTTGCACTTGTTTGCGGATCGCTTCACATTTGTGTGTGGGTTTTTTGAGACTCGTCTGACGTGAGTAGATCCACAAATAGGTCCATGTTGAAAAAAACGTATCTGTAGCCAATCAGATATCGCCCTCATTTTCAACCAATCACGTGGGCGCAGCTCCCCCCTCCCATCCCCACGAGGCTGCCAGCGATACAGCAACGCAATTTGGGGAGGCGAAGCGACGGGTCAGCAAACAATGGCGTCTGGTAGTGACGTGAAGTGTAAGTGAAACAAGAGTGCATGTAAATTATTGCTACGTCAAATATGTTGCATCATGTATTTTGCATAGTGGCGGCTGGTCCATTGAGGACAATGGGGCATGGCCCCACCTTAAGTGACAGATTTTTTTATTTTTTTTTGTTTATATAAAAAATACATTTGACAATGTACATTTGTCAATATTTGTTTTTGAAACGGATTATATACCCAGTAATATTTGTGAATTAAGATATCTGCGCAAAATATATGCTTTTCCTGCATCTGACCTCTGCGTGTCAGGATCCCGTCTGACCTATTGTGTGTCAACCACTGTTTCTTTCAATCTCCTCTCCTCGTGTGTCTGTGTTCCCTTGTTTGTTTTGCCATGTGCTCAGTGTTGTTTTGTCGGTCCTGCTTCCAGACACCTACCATGGCCACACCCCTGATTGGCACACAGCTGCGGACGATCTGGCTCGTTACCACCAGCAGTATACCAGTCCGTCAAGCTCCTGAAGTTTACAGATGACACCACCCTCATTGGACTGGGCTCTGGTGGGGATGAGTCAGCCACTACAGGTGGGAGTCTGACCATCTGGTGTCGTGGTGCAGCCAGAACAACCTGGAGCTCAACGCTCTAAAGACAGTGGAGATAGTTGTGGATTTCTGGAAGAACGAATTCCCACGTTCCCCCATCACCACTGTGGATTCTGTGGTTTCCTCGTCTCCATCATCACCCAGAACCTCAAGTGGTAGCTGATCAGCTCCCATCACCAAGAAGGCTCAGCAGAAGTTGTTTTTCCTGAGGCAGCTGAAGAAATTCAACCTGCCAAAGACGATGATGTGCACTTCTACACGGCCATCATCGAGTCCATCGTCTGCTCCTCCCATCACCATCTGGTACGCTGCAGCCACAGCCAAGGACAAGGACAGGCCGCAGTGTGTCATCCGCTCTGCAGAGAGGGTGATCGGCTGCAATCTGCCATTTCTCCCGATTGTAGCCGACCCCTCTCACCCCAGACAAAAACTGTTTGTGCCCCTTCCATCTGGCAGGAGGCTGAGGTCCACACAAGACTAAAGCCTGACATATTATGGTAATAAATGTTTTATGATTCCTGATATCTACTTTGGTCGTGCAGCCCTGGGTTGTCAGTCCGTATCGTCTTCTGCCTTGGAAGTCTTCGCCACCATTAAGTAAATTGCTTGTTGCCTGCTCAAGAGACTAATACGCTCTCCTCTTCCAGTGTCCAGCACCTCCTGTGTCGAGCCCCATGACATCACACAGTCAATCTGCCTGCCCTCCGGTGTCGAGCCACGGGACGTTGCACCGTCGATCTGTCTGCCCTCCGGTGTCGAGGCACGGGACGTCACATTGTCGATTCGGCCGCCTCCTGTGTCGGACCAAGGGCTCCACACATTTTTCCCCCTCTCAGTGGTTAAAATAAAAGCTGTAAAACTGCTACGGTCTCCTGTGTTCGAGCTTTTGAGTCCTAACCTTGAACTCCCGTGACACTCACGCACGCTTGTCTCAGCTGGGCTCGAGTCCCAAAGAAGCAGTTAGCCAATCACTGAAAGTTAATGAGTGACATTATAATTTCAAATCCCTAAAATACTTTGAGATTTGGGCCAGCCCTTCGCCACCTTACGCTGCGCTCTTGCCAGGGCTAATCTCATGACATGACAATGGCAAGCAGTATCCCTCCAATATCAAACCCTAACTCTGTACATTCTCTCCTCAAAGAGCCATTTGCCTCCAACCATTCACACACCTACGGGCAATTTAGAGTCACCAATCAACCTGATCCCCAGTGCATGTCTTTGGACTGTGGGAGGAAGCCAGAGTACCCGAAGAGAACCCAGGGAGAACATGCAGAGTACACACAGAAAGGCCACTGGGCGGAGTCTAACCCAGGACCTTCTTGCTGAGGCGACAGTGCTAACCACCACGCCGCCCAAATAATTTATCAATTGCTAATTTATGAACCGGGTCGTCAGTTTATTTCTAATACTCTACATCACTATGCACAGAGTTTTACTAACTTCACACAACATTGCCTCGCTGGGCGACATCTGATACAGGTAGGTCAGTTTTGAAAAAAACGTATCTTTGGATCTAATCATGTTGATCATGTCTCAAAAACCCACACACAAATGTGAAGTGCGAGATGCATACATATCTAAAAACAAATATGAATATAAATCATTTATTTACGTGTTATGTATTTGTAATTTTTTTTGTGTGCATTTGTGAATCTTCTTTTTGCATTTGCAATTACTGAGACTGATCTGATAAAAATAATGAAACTTTACGTTTCTCAGAAATGTCTCCTTTTCTGATCTCCTATCCTGTAAATCATCTAACAATGAAACTAAAACACTTTGCACTATTCTAAATCATATTCATATGTGTATAACAAAAGGCAGGTTCTGCAATGACACTCATTCATATTGATATTCATATTCTGAATGAACGTCATCCTATAATCTTGTTTCACTATTGGATGTCGGTAGCTTTGTATCATCTCTTTATAGAGGACTCTAACAGCAGGCTGACTCCAGAGTGTCCTTGATTAGTCGTGTTAATCTGGCCAGGGAAAGTCCTGTGTGGCTGACTCCAGTTTGTCTCGTGTCTATGTTGTCTTGTGATTTCCTGGGGGGGGGGGTTTAAGTTAAGTTTCTTCTCGTTTCGGGCCACTTGCTTCTTCCACCTGTGGCTTTCCAGCTGGTCCGATTGTCTGCCTCAACCCTGTGTGTATATATTGTCTGAGCCTCCCTTTGTCCTGTGCCAGTTCGTCTTGTCCATCGTGTCAGAGAACCCGTATCGTATCCATGCCATTGTCAGGTCTTTTTTTGTTCTTAGGTTTAGTGCAGGTTCTCTTTCGAGAGTGATTTTCATTTTGGGTGTATTGTAGTAAATATTTGATTTGAGGAAGGCTGTGTAAGGATAAATGACAGAGCGCACACACACAACTGTGCCAGTGTTGTCCAACAAAGCCTGTCTCTGGTCTGTTTGGGAGGTGCGAGGTAAAGGCCCCTTCGTAACCCGTCTGATGGTTCCTCAGTTCCTGGAGGAAAGGATTGTGTCAGAGTGAGACGGGAGGGGAGAAGCATGTGACCTGTAGCACAGAAAAGAGGCTTTTTGTATACAGTCGGGAATGCTTTGTTTACCAGCCACATAGAGCTGCACCAATGGGCCTGACAAATGAGTTCCCAGCTCTTCTCTATCAAACAGGACTTGGACCTGCTGACACTACGATAGTCCTGCTTAACTTGTGTCATGACCCGGCTCAACAGAGATGACAAAAACGGGAGAGACACAGTGCAAAGCTGCCGTCAAAGTATATTTAAGTAAAATAGCAAAACCAAAAGTAAAGCTCAGTAAGCTCAGTAAAAAAATATGAGGTGTGTACGTCAGTAGTTTGAGTCATGTCCGTGTGGGTGCTTGATCCTGCAGGGTAGAGTGTGAACATAAATGGAACGCAAAGAGACCCAAACAAAAGATGCGGACGCTGGCCAGGGAAACCAGCGACCCCGGCAGGCAGCAACCAAGCGCTTTTATACCGCTGGAACCCCCCAGCTGCTCTCAATCAGGTTGATGGTATCCGACATGAACCAATAGGCAGGGCCGTCACACTTGCTAAGGCTGGAAATGAAATGTGGACTGAAGTTTTTGATAGTCCAGTTGTGGAATGTTATTTTTTCATCAGTTTCACTGAAACTATCATGGTTCACACTATTTTTGATTATGCAATTGCTTCCGTTAATTGAATGTCAAGCAGATAAATAAAATCCCATGTGTTCCAGTTTTCTATGTGGATTCTTGGTTTCCGCTGTAACTGACAACCTCTAATCAATGACACGGGCAGAAACAGGCCGGACACACAGCAGCGTCTCAACCGAGGCGCCCCAGCAGCCAATTACAATGTTTGGGAAAATAAATGAAATGACTAGCAAAATAGGTCAAATGAAGTGTTTCCCTGACACACTAAAGGACCTCCCTAATTGCTGGTCCCTGAAGGGACAAGAATACAAAAACAACAAAACCTTATATTGTATCGTCCAATGACGGGGGAAAGACGGAGAGCTGGGAATAGGCTGAGGGAGAAGAAAGGGAAACAGCATGGTTTGAGTAATTACATGTTTTGCCTCAATCGCCGGTGTGTGTACCGTCCGCCAATCAGCGTCAGCGAGTTCCACGGCTGGAGCAGCTGGCGGAGGAAGGAATCGAGCCGGCCATTGACTTTGTCTCAGCCGAGGGAGGAACATGGGGACAACAGATCCACCCGTGCTTTCAATCAAAGACTATATCTATATTCTATGTTGTTGTTTTATTCAGCGGTTCAAGGACTACCTCAACTCGAAGGGCAGCATCGATACAGAGGATATGTGAGAATCCCCAAAAAACATTACTCCATCTCAAGCAGGTTAAGCACACCCTGACATTGTACTCCAAGATGTAATCCAAGATAACTCCAACATCCTCCCGCTGCCTTAGTCACGACGCAAAGAATCTCAACACCAGTGATTTGTTTATTGGATCTCCCCACAGATCATTTCCTGTTTCCACCCACCTTCCCCACCAGGATTAAATGTGCAGTTAAAATCAAATTAGAATGTAACTTCCTTTAGTGAGGGATGAATGAACGCATGGAAGATGGAGGGGAGTGAATCTGGTTAGAGAACCGCCACATTGACATTTCCTCCCACTGGTCGGGGGGATTGGGAGCTGGAAATTGCCCCTCAGTGCTCAACGCTTAGTTCTAAGCTTTAATTAACAAGCAGCACACAAAAGGTGATGGACATTGGCCACAGTTCACAGCTCTCAGGTTTCAATCCCTCACTCGAGGAAGTGTGTGGGAAATGTGGCAGGTGTTGAAAGGGAAAACAAAAGAATGCATAAGCAGTGTGCCGTTGTGGTGAAATCACCAGCACAGACATTGTACTTTTCAAAGGGCAGGTTGATCCTCTTCTCCACCTGACCAACACCACCTCCGACGAGGGCTTAAAGGGAAACCCACCCTAACGCTCTCTAACATAACTGCTACTGTATCTTATGACTCAAAGTGAGAATCAAACGTCTTGACAATCAAACACTCGTCAATAGAGATTTGTCCACCCGCGATGGCTTGAGTACACCAGAATAAATTGCAGCTCTGAAAAATTACATTAAGTTAAATTGTCAAAGACATTATTGTTATATTAGTAAATCACAAATTTAAGTACATTTTATGCCTGTAATCCATAATAACAATGGGGATTACGTTGTATCCACGGATAGGTTACAGCTGGAGCTGAGCAGAACTAAGATATTAATGCCCACACTATTCAAACATTGTCTTCTAAAAATATACTAAAATTAATTTGGGCCAATATAAGAGATCTTTTAATCTTTTTGTAATTTCTTAAAACCTATTTGTTGTCTCCAATTAGGGATGTCATTGCTCCCATGGAGGCTGCAAGGTCAACACGGGTCGAGACAGAAACAAACTCTGCTTTGGCAGATGCTCGAGGCTGCAAAACACTGCACTGTTCCTCGCAGTGCCAACAATGGATGTAGCTTTATCTTCAATGTTAGAAGAGCTGAATGGACCCTGAACAGCTGGTGTGGCATACACATCTTTCATTTCACTCAATTGAAATGGCCTCAATGTAAATAACTGACAAACTGGTGCACTTCAGATGTTACGTAACCTCTGGCTTTATTCACAACCACCATTACTGCACCACCTCACAAATGATTCGTTTTGAATACATTGCTTAACAGATTGAGTTTAAGAGGAACCTCTTCTCCATCATTTCCATGAATGATGACCCTGTTCCTGAACCAGGGTCTTTCACTATTTCACGCCACATCATTACAAAAAC